AGGAAGACATAACCCTGTTTGCCTTTAGATTTCATTTTATAATTAAATTGCTGTTGCATCAAAAGGACAATATTATATATATTATGTTTTGGTTAGCTTGTGATAATAATAATATGCAACATTAATATAACGACCTATATAATTTGTAAAAAATACTCTAAAGCGCTTTACAACATACGGATAATAGTATTAGCTATAATTAAGAAACAAAAATGGCTTACAATCACCATTATACATAAAGCAATGCAAGAAGATAATCATCGCAATATGCACATAAATGAATAAATAAAGGGTGGTATGTACATGGAGTCTGTAAAGAGACATGAAGAGGTAAGTGTTGGTGTCTTTCTTGAATTTGGCCAGTGTATTTGACTTTATAATAGCATATGGTAAGCTATTCCACAACGTGGCCGAAACCCTTCCAAAGCACCGTCTTTCCTGATTAAGCTGTAGCATGTTGACGTTCAACCTTCAAGATTTTTTGCTATTGTATCTCAACTGTCCTGTGGTTTGATGATAAAGTAAATGTGTGTGTCATCAGCAAAGCAATATTAGCGAAGAATATGGCGACGACACATCTCTTCTATCGGTTTGGAATATAGGCAATATTGTCTTGGTCCCATAACAACGACCCTTGAGGAACCCCGAAACCTAGTGTTTTGTCATGTGAGGTGGTAGATCCGATGGCAACACACCGTCGTCGTCCACTCAGACAAGATTGTATCCAGTATAGTGCGGTATCGGTCACTCAAAAAAAATACTCCAGTATTCACATGTTTGTCAAGATGGATGGATGTTACATAGAGGTCCGGTGACATTTAATCCCTGACGAAGGGCTAAGCCCGACATTTTGGAAAAGACTGACTTTAAAGTTTGTTAATACTCCAGAAGTCTATAAAGTATGCCATGGTCGATGACGTCAAATGCAGCTGACACGTCCAGCACGACAATCACTGCTCTGCACTTGTTATCCAATGTCATTATGTAAAAGTAGGAGGGCCGTCTTAGTAGAGTGTCCTATGCAGTAGACCTTAAACAGTAAAGGCAGGAAACGGTAGTTCTTCAACTCCTCCTTGTCCATTCCAGGCTTCTTCAACAATGGTCTAACATGTGCCTTCTTGAAACACAATGGAACCTTTGATTCAGCCAATGATTTGTTCATGATTGAGGTATTCAAAGGAAGCAGTGCTTCAAGACATTGGTTTAATAGGTCTGTATGCAGTAAATCAACTAGTCGACATTGTTCCCTATAAATCTGTTGTTGAACGGTTAATTTGGTCCTTCGCCACTGTCTCTGCTTTCCAACGGTTCTGTTTTTCTACGCGGAGGTTTTCATTTTACCACGGGGCATTTGGGCACCGAGCGAGAGTTTAAAGACACTAAATTCAAAGGAATAACTGACTTACCGTGATCATGACCAGCTATTATTGGCTTGATGACATGTTGATTCTCGTACAATACTGATGTTGTCGAAATCCGTGTTGAAGTCAATTTAGGTTAACCGGATTGCGTTTTAATGTGTTTAAGTAGGTGCGCGCACGTGCAGTGTATGAATCGGGCAACATTTTTTTTCATCGTCTAGTTTAATCTGTGAAGATTGTTTCGACTTCTGTTGCGTATTTCAAAAGTAAATGAGTAAATTCTAGATTTATAAACTTTCGTGTGATAAGCAATTCCAGATAATTTGTGGCAGTCATTAATAAATACTTTTCATATTATAGCTCTAACGGGCCACCGTAAATGTCTACCGGGTTGTCGCCTCAATGAATCTATGCGAACAAAATACATATGGTATGATGAAAATATAAGGTTCCCTTTATCAAAACAACGAGTATCGGATTTTGCTTGCATCTGATATGCATTCTAGTGCATAAATAATTTAAAACATTCCACCGGATTTAAGAAAGCTGGTGACCTTCAACAAGGTGACCGACATTACGGCAGGTATTACATAATATGATGTAAAATGCGTTTAACTTTCCGCATCACCTATCACTGTCTCAGTAATTTTTGAACACATGTTTGTTAATACATCTCTTCTCGGATCCTGTTGTAGTCTTTTTACTAAGTTCAAGTTACTTTGTTTTTTTTGCATATCAAATAAATTACTCCCCTGCCTCGACGTGTCAGTATTGCTATGCTGTGGTATCGGACGTCAGCAGTTTATCAACTATTTGTATGTACCTGTGCCAAGTAGGCTTACTATTTGACCACCAGATACCTTGAGCGGTGGCGGAACACTTGACTAACTTTTAAGGTAACTGTGGTCTTACATGTTAAACGTTTCAAACAATATTATATAACAAAAACACTTATATATGCTATTAAGACCAGAAGTGCATTTATTTATATGGACAAAACCTTGAAAATTTAGTCCAATAGTCATAGCATAGAAACAAGTAGTCATAAAATGTCATTTTTACATGTTTTAGGGGTTTAGATAGACTTTCAGTAAAAACAACAACCAATAAATAATATAATAATACATGAATAAATAGATTGAAAGATAAATCAATCAATGAATATTAGGCATGTTGTACATTGAACTTCTACTCATTTGAAATCATGTCAGCTCATCTATTACATGTACCCTCAGACAAATTTTAAGACGTCACTGACAAAACCCATACCTAATTGAGATAGGGAGTTGGGGTGAGAAATCGTGCCGTAACAAGTGTCTGCTCGCGTGTCAGGGGCAACGGAAGGGCCATGCGAGTACGCCATGCTCTGGGTGTTTCCGTGGAGTACATGGATGCGCTATGTCTTGCAAGACACAGATGTCGTCGTAAAGACTAAATAATATATACATTTCATTATTTCTATGAATGTTTTGTGGTTTTCTGTTTTGACAAATTGGTACATGTTATGCCAAAAATATCATAATTTCCAGGATTAATACCATTCAATGAGGAAGCTTTTGTCATAACACCTCAGATTTGACAAATAGTACATGACAATACATGTTATGTATATTTCATTGGTTGTACATTGACACATTTACCAACGAACACCGTTGAAAAAAAAAATCCATTTTGTGACGGTTTAACTTTTCATCCTGGAGACCTCAGGTTTACACAATGACGTGACGTCATCGCCTGGCCCATTGCTCAATTGTTCTACGTCATATATTTTCAAATCACATGTTGATCAAAATTTGGCTTGGCACTCTCTAAGAAGATTGCTGTGGCACTCAAAGGGTTAAGTAATAATGGTTTATAATATACATGTATATATATAATATATATGGCAAAGAAGTAATTCCAACAGTGTGGACAAGTTTAGGTTGTCAAATTTTCGGAGGGATCCGCTCCTTTTTCAAGACACAGTGAAATAGAACATTTACATGTACATATACATCATATTACAAGAAGAAAGAACTGATATACTATAATTAAAAATATAGCTATTATATAAAACCAATAGTCCCCTCGGCTAAAGACAGCAATTAAGCTGAGAGCATCGCGGACAAGGAACGCTGATGTAGAGGACGTATTCTTGCGCAAGATGCACTATCACATGAAGTGGGTCAACGAGAGATATAAAAAACGTGGAACATATGCATGTGGAAATCTGGCCCGGTAAATGTGAAAAATCTCAATTTTCATTGATGTCCATTTGATTTTAACGTCATCGATAAATCTCAACCAGCTAAATGGCTTAATTGGAGCAGATGCTAAAAGTTTGGCTTCAAGATGTCCCATAAAAACATTGGCATGTGAGGGGGCCATCTTAGTACTCATGGCTGTACCGCTAACTTGTATGTAGTTATCCTCATTGAATGTAAAGTTGTTAAGTGTGAGGACAAGTCTCAGTAAATCCACCAGGCTATCAGTCGATGGGTGTTTGGTACTTCGCCGTTTACGGTTAATTTGGTCCTTCGCCACTGTCTCTCTGCTTTTCTATGGTTCTGGTTTCATACACGAAGATTTAATAACATGAAAAAGTAATGCTTTAGCTTTATTAGCAGCTTTAAGTTTAAATAAATGACTAAGTTCTCGCGGTGAATATGCTCGATGACTTCAAGTTTGAAAAACAGGTGAATTTATCGGTGAATAAATGATTAGTCAACGAGTAAATGGATATTTTAATTTGTGTTTTAAGACTTTTGCTAGTTTTAGCATTTAGAAACTCAGTATTACTGATGGATAATTCAGTATTATGTTATCGTATAATGTTATTGACATTTACATATAAAAGTAAATGGGATGCTGATGATGTCATTTCTTCATTTGCAGTCTATGCCTACATATAGGCAGACTTCTATATATATTTATAACCAAAAAATATAAAATATTGAAATACAGAAAACATGTCTGAGTTTGGTAGAACGTGCTAAGGAAAACATAAACCATTAGGTAATAATGGTTTATAATGTATATATAAATATAAACACATAAACAGACCAAATGTTTTTATTCTCTGCATTATTCGTAAGAGGAGATTAATATGGTAGCCCCCTGTAGTAATGAGTATTTGTAATTGTTCCCTCTCGTCGGTGACAGAGAAAAGACCACACGGAATCTGTTGTACCAATCGTAACGTTTATTTTTTTTAAATTTTCTTTTCTACATGCATCTATTACCTGGTATTTTTCCTAACGGCTTTTTTGAAAACCCTGCATTGAGCCAAAAGAGGAAGATTATGGGTCCTGTTAATTGGCCAAACCAAACCAAACCAAATACTTTGGAATTAGTTTACTGGTCTGCGCTTGAAGCTAGCTTTACATTGATAGCGATATTGACTGATGTACTCGTTGTTAGTACAATACGACTATTTTTACGCTTGTGCTACGTACCTGAGGCATGGTATTTTAACGGGGTAGCACTCTTAAATCGGCATTCACATATACACCAGCATTCAATCCTTGCTATTACAAGGAGATATATACACCAGCAACATGCCCCCATTACACCGCATACATTTCACACATGGAAGGGCTTCACTTAATTGACACTAGCTGTTAATATGACTCTAAACTCAATTCAGCAAACAAAACATTTCATTACATATATCTACCCCAAGGAAAATAAATTGTAAATCAGAAACCTATCAATCCATTTATCAACAGACACAGGCAGCTTTGTTATACTGCATGTAGTTATAGTCAGTAATAACAAAAATAAGCTACGATGGTTAAATAATCATCGAAGCAATCCTCATACAATTGGCGCATGAGCTTTATTCTGACAGGTAATGGTTCGAATAGATGTTTCGCAGTGATGTCGTAACTTGATTAAATACTTCTAAAGATGTATGAGGGCATTTGTTTTACCCATTTAAAGTACCTCTCTGTCTCATGTTTGCCTATTTTTCTTTTAAAATGTTCATCTGTCTACATGTTTACTGTTCTACTTTTTATTTCATTTGTGCAAGAACCTCGTATACAGAGAAAACAATGTCACGTTGATGATAGTAACTATAGCCTTCCCTAAGCTTAAAAAACAGAACCATATTGGCGATACCTCTTCCATCATATATCCGAACAACATCGGACTCAGGAGCGCCCCAACAAAGGCAGTTATCATTAGGTATGCAGTCACTTTACCTCGAAGTGGAATTAAATTATCGTTGATCCAACTCAGAAAACTTGGCCAAACAACACCCAAAGGTGTTCCTATAACACATACAGATATCCATATTCCTACATCAGCCAGAAAAATGGCGCTAACTGAAAGTCCAACAAATCCTACGGTACACGATATGATGGAAAGCAATAGCATAGGGACTGGTTTGAGGAAGTTTGTCAGTACCGCTCCAAAGATCCTACCGAAAAGCAAAGCAAAAAATGCCACGGATGTTAACATGGAACCGGCTGTCTTTGTCCATTGCAAATGTTGAACACAAAACACTGTCAGAAAGCCGCTAAATGAAAAATCCATTGCAACGAACACAGCTGAAAATATTCCAACATTTACAAATTGAAGTATTTTTATAAATATTGGAAGATCGCCAATGAAATGTAACTCGTCGATCCTGACTTTATTTTCTGATTGTTGTGGCGATTTGAATAATATCACAACAAATGGAATTGTGACCAAGAATGCAAATCCAGCTGAAATTGAAAAACCTATATAAAGTCTGGATTTGGGTGATTCTGTATGTAATGCATTTAACTGCGGAACAGATTGGATGTTTGAGCCGTTTCCATTGACTTCATCGACTATATTGTTAGATATATTCCAAGATGTATTGTATCTAGTGACATCTGTCGTTGTTGGAATCAAGAACGGTGACGTCACAATCGGCGAGAGGAATCCAGAGATAGCAAAAGCAGCGTAGAAGATGTTCATATACACCCTACCCCTCGCCGAAGTTCCCCAGATTGACGCTGCTATCGATATTAAAGCTGAAATGATACATAAAGTGTTCCATTGACATGAATAAATAACCTATTTAAATACATATTAAATAAACTTTTTCTGTACATAAAAATACATGCATCAACGATACTGATGAAACCTTGACGTACAGTATTTCAATGGTCAGTAATTCAGATTACGGTAAAATTATATTGTAATCAACATGAAAAGAAAATATCCTTAATATATATATTACATTTGGATATATTTGCTTAAATTCACACTGTTCTGCAGAAAGGCATTAGAGATGATACTGTATACGTGAATAAATAAATAGAGAAACAATTAAAGCAAATGTACAATAAAACCAGGATAATGTAACTTACAAACAGACATCACTCCACCGGAAATACCATGTAGAACATGCGCAGCAATCATGAGTTCATATACTGTACACCATGGTATGACGGCAAACATGACACTATTAGTGGTCATGGCGACTACAAGAATAAGGTATCTGTTAAGTCTGGAATAAATAGCTCCTCCAAGAATAGAACCCAGCACCCTTCCTATAAAATATGACGTCATGAACATAGATCCTTCTTCAAGGCTTGTGCCACCGATGAGCAGAATATCTAAGAATGCAGGTCCGAACTGGCCTTTTGTCCATCCCTGGAAATATAAAGACGTTGTCATTTAAAAACTCAGTTTCGTAGAATATGAATCAAACACACTCATAAAGATGTATCTCACTAAACCTACCGTAGCTGACATTCAATCTGGTACGGCTATCATGAAATATACTTATTTAAGAATATCTGCTGTTGCCCAAAGGAAAACTCGAAAAGATATGGGCTAGTGTTGACCAGAATACGAAACGGGAAATTGTAATCACTACATGAAATCATCATCTTTAATATAATACAACCATACAAACAAAGAAAATATAACAAACCAGTATGCAGAAACCTGAAGCGGCGCATACACTCAGCAAGGTCTTGAATCTAGTGGCATCGTTATTAAGAATCTCATGTAGAAATGATCGATATTCTGTGATAGGGGCCTTCGTCTGGCATTTTTCTTTTCCATCCTCATTAGTACTTTCATTAAATGGAACTGACTCGCACTCAGATCCGTTGACTTTGTAATCGTCTTTGCTTTTCGCCATTTCCTCGTTGTGTGACACTGTTTAAGGAAACAATATTTCATTAGCAAAAGCCGGTTTCAAATTGCATGTAATAGAATATATCGAGCGTTTATGATGTAGAAATAGCAATCTGAAACACGGGTAAGAATGTTTCAAGCATGGCAAGATGTTTTACCATGCTTTAAAAAGAAGTGATTGATTATTGTTGCCGTTCATCACCAAAAGCGCATGACGATGCGCTAGTTCCACTGCATACAAAGTTTACACAATGGAGAGGTTTTCGAAAAAGGATGGAGGGAGTTGTATTCCCTATGTCGGGTATATCGGAAATTTGAAGCGTGGGAGAAAACTTGCGCACACCTCAATCTCGACTTTATATATTTATAACAAACTATCAACAATTCAATTAAACAATTTATCTCTACAGGTACATATTACGCCAAAACGATCTTTAATTTTTAAGCACACGCTAGTACACCCTTGGTCATGAGAGATTATTTTTCTCTCATTCCAACTACCAGAATAATCCAAGAAACCATGAAAATGTGTTTGGACTGGCTACCATTTTGAAAATATCAATTTCCCCCTGAGCTTTTTAGACGAAAACGAATCAGCCAGCCAGAATAAGCATATCCCATATTTGCAAACAATGTTTGCACAATAAATTAATCACATCTTTATAACGTGTACGGTAAATATATAGTAAAAGGTTTTAATTTCATCACGTCAACATTGCGGCATCGGATAGTTCCAAATTCGTGACGTCACGTCATTGTTGAGCCATGATGACGTCAAGTCACGTGAAATGGGGTGTAAGATAATAATTTCGTACGCCCCTTTCTTACCATGGACAGCTCTATCTTACACACAGGGAAATGAGAGAAAGAAATGTCCTATAACATTTTCTTACCATGGACAGCTCTATCATATACACAGGGAAATAAGAGAAAATTATCTACCTTACGATATTAGTTTTAAATGATATTTTGTCAGATCTTTATGAATATTCAAACAGTCATGATGTATAAAAATGTACTGAATCTAAAATGTAGTAAAATAAAAAGTAGTTTATTACTCACCTATAGACTTACCACTACGGACTGTGTGTGGACGAGTAGACAGCAGATAGGGACGATAACGTTTCATTACATACACAGTCTTATCAGAGTATATATTAGGGCGGCATCCTTTAGTTTGTTATGTAATAAAATCAGATAGATTTCACCCAATAGTCAGTATCTAACTGAGAAGGATAGAGTTGTGGTCGTGTTTTTGAGCTAGTTACTTGAAACATCCTGTTAAATTACGTCTGCCTTTTTTTTGTAACGCGCTTTAATCCAGTAACGCAAAATCGAAATGTCAGCTGTTTACATCTAAATCGGTCTTTGGCCTAAAGGGACCACGGAACCAATTCAAAAATAGATTGTGGGTTTTTCCCTTTTGGGCAGAAGATTTAATAGAAAGGTGAATGCCTCGGGGCCTGCTGGTTGGATATTAAGGTGGCAGAAGTTTCAAAAGTTTTATGTGTGGGTTGAGCAATATATATAGATGTAATATGTAAAAAAAAAAAAAAAAAAAAATCAAGCCTGGTTTTGTCTGGGTGAGTTTATTAAGTGTGTAATTTGTTGTAAATTTTGTTCGATTTTTGGTGCCGAATTCAATACAAGATGGCAGCCCCCATATAAAAAAAGTTCAAATTGGCAGAATTTTGAAATATTTTTTTTACAGTTGTGTGAGATGCTATTCTTCAAAATGAGGTCAGGTAAACCAGTGTGGATAACCCCATTTAACCAGGACAGTGGTAAACGTTAACACTATCGTCTATGGAAAATCATTTGGTTCCGCGGTCCCTATAGGATATGACGTTTTACACCATTCAAGCGTCCCTGGAAACCAGATGCTGGGTTCACCATCATATTTCTGCTTGTGAATCTAACCAGGGATGTGTTTTGGCAGAATTTAGAGGGAAAATTAGCTGCAAGAGGATACTTTGATGGCAATATACACCCTTGAAGAGTGTGGAGGGGGGCCAAAGACCAGGGAGGATATGGGCGCATTGTGGTTAGATGGCCAAATGGACACAGAATGACAGAGAGAGTGCACCGACTGTCACTGATGGTATATTATAGATGGCTGAAGGAGGATTTCCCGAGGAGGGACTGTGACGGCAAGATTTTGGAGGTCATTCATCTCTGCCACAACAAACTGTGCCTCAGTATACAGCACATAGTCATCGAAACCCATGAAGCCAATCAGGCCAGGAATCACTGCAAATAACAAAACAGGTGTTCCGGTTGCCATGTTCCAAGATGTCTGCTGTGATCAGCAGGTAAGTAATACATGAATTTTGTATTTAGGTCAAGGTCATGGTCAAGGTCATCCACTGTGGATGTGACACCTATATTATAGTCAAACCAAACGGTTGAACAAAAATGGGCTGTATCACTCTCTTAAAGTGATTTTAAAGAACTTGCCCACTTGATGTCTATAATATGAAATGGTGGGGTGTCAGTGTCATGTAAGGTACCCATGGAAGTACCCATGGAAAGGGTATTTCATTGGTATCAGTATAAAGCGGATCTGAATCCGTCCTACCATAAGCCGGCAGCCAGCCGGCTTTTGTCTTGAAATGAATCTATATAAACAAATTTATTGAGAAGCTATTTATTTATTTTTCTTTCTTTCTCTTTCTTTCTTTCTTTCTTTCTTTCTTTCTTGTAAGATATATATTGAAATATAACAAAGACTATTTCTTAAGTTCTCAATATTTTAATGTTTTATTTCTTTTTCTCAATCATAACTCTGTCTTTCACATAAATTTCTTCATCAATTTTACAGTCATGTAATTTGAATATTTTGTGTCTCTTATTTCTCTTCTGAATTTTACACCGCAATGATTGACTTCGTGCTTTATTGTACAAATGTCTTTTTTGTTCTTTATCTAGGTCCTTGGACACAGAGCTTCCAGCAGTGATTGGAGACCCAACCCCACTGCACAGTTCTTTAATGGCAGTTCCCGGTCCATGGTTCACAGAATACACCGCCCTATGAGCTCTCCCTGAAAAGTTACGAGTAAAGTTCACACTTGATGGGAGAGACCGCATCAGCCGTCTGTTCACAGATTCTACCTTTTGGGTCGTCAGGTTCCACAAGGTCTTTTCCAACACGGAGTCACCGAGACGGGCATCAACTTTCTCCATCAGAATTTTTGACACAGTTGCCTCTCCACCGCTGACCTTGAAATCACTTGGTAAATATATGTTGTCTGTTAGCCAGTTATTTCTCTCCTTTCCTGCATACACTAGTGATTTGGTCCTGCACTCACAGTGTACACCTTGGTAACACTTCACGATGGCCCCCTTTACACCATGAGCAGCACGTTGTAAGGGAATGAGACTCCCACAATGTCTGTCGTACAGGTGATACAGCTCTGCCTGACACCGAGCGGCTAGGTCACAAGTAAATCTTTTTTTAATTGTTTGTCGCTCTTTCTTAGTGGATCCCGGCATTATTTCCTCAAGTTTCACACACTTTGAAATGTTTTTCTGAAATTCCTTGTTAGATGAATAGGGTCCAGGTTATGTGTTGGCTTTGTACATGATGCACCACTTTTGTATCTCTTTTCAGCAGCCTTGAATGCACCTGTATCTGAGTCGGTAACAAGCTTGTCCACCTCCAGGCCGTCTCTTTTGGGGTTCTCCAGACTTTCGTAGCAGTACGCCTGTTCATTACCAATTGATGAGGCCAGAGGTAAGTTACCTTTACAGTGTGAGGTATGTTCACTTTCACAGGGTGGCCATATATTGCATAGTTTGTTTTTGGTGACAAGGTCCACCACATACTGGTCCTTGGTGTTGTGTTCTATAGTGCTGAACATAACTTGTGTCGCTGGCTGGAACGGAGTCTTCCCCGCACCAGAATAAATTGGGTTGTTGTAGGTGGCATCCACCATCAGGTCTACTTTGTTTGGCGGGTTTCCTCGGTGC